GCCCTCTCTCCCCTCTCTCTCTCTCTCTCTCTCTCTCTCTCTCTCTCTCTCTCTCTCTCCAGATTTTTTTCCCAGAAGAGGTAAAATCGTTAATCCCGAAAGTACCCCCCACCACAGCAACCCAAAACGCCGTCGTTTTGGTGAAAGTCGCAACGACCCACGAACCAAAACCGTCACGCAGAACTATAAGAACCGCCATGGAAACGGCTTATATATAGTCAGTGTTTTCATTGCATTGCTCAACAATGGCGGCTTGGAGAGTGAGGGACGAAACGTCCAGCATCGTAACGCAATGGGTCCTCGTCGGTCTCGTGGTCGTGGCCGGAGCCATGATCCTCGTCGGAGTTCTCCTCATGACGGCGAAGTACGCGCCTTGGCGGCACCAGCAACCTCTCCTCCTCAAACTTCAGAGCTTCACCGTCTCGAACCTCAACACCTCCGTCTCCGTCGGTCTCGCCGGCGCATCATTCCGTACGGCGCTCCTCTTCGCTAACCCTAATCCTCACTTGGACGTCTCCATTCCCAATTTCACGTCTTTCCTCTTCTTCAACCACACCGGAGGAGGAGGAAGAAGAAGGGACAACCTCGTACGGCCCATCTCGTGTTCCCTCGTGGGTCCACTCCACTTGGGTCCTCTCCGGCAACGCCTCGTCCATGTCTTCTACGACGCTTCACAATGCGGCGGAGAACAACCGTTCGTGGAGGCCGATGTGTTGGAGGCCATTCGGAGAGACGGCGACGGAGGATTTCTAGGGATTGTTGTCGGAATAGAAATTAGGGTTAATTACCGAACAGGAATCTTGTTCTGGGAGTACGAGGTGAAACCCAAGTGCCCTCCTCTCTCTGTTAAGTTCGTTGCTGCTTCTGGTGTCGGATGGTTGGATTCCGATTCTCCATTAATTTGTTCAGTCAAGTTTTCCTGATGCTTACGTCACGTGATCTCACCGTTATATTGGGCTTTTGGGTTGGGCCTCAAGTTTAAACCCACTTAGTTTGAGGCCCAATCTACTTCTTTGGTTTGTATATATTTTATTGCCAAATCATTGGTAGATGTAATTTTATTTTTTTTGTTAAAGATATGTAATTATTCTGAAGGGTGAGAAACTTCATGGAATTCGGTTTTATTTTCTTTTTTTTTATATATAATTATAAACCCTCATTTAATAATAATATACGCACCATCTTTAACCCCTGACGAAATAATGGTTTAGAATGTTATAAAGGATGGCTAAATTTTTACCGTTAATTTTAATCTGAATTATAATTGAAGTTCTAATTAAAGGAAATATATCATTCATGCCTTTCAATATCTCTCATTATATTCTCTCTAAATTATCTCCTTGTTTAGTTTCAAATGCTTCTGTATATATCTATACGTATAACTCAAGATCAATACAGTGAATACAATCTTCTTGTCAATACCATAAGTTGTATATGGTATCAGAGACTCCATAATTCTAGATTTGGGTAGACCAAATTCATGACTTTTGTGGACATTAAGTCATGTTTAATGGAAATTTATTAATAGGGTATATAATATATATATATATATATATATATATGGGGACACGACACGATTCCTCAAATCATGATAAAATATTGGACCACTAAGTGGGCTTGCATAGTTTTTTATTGAATACAAATTAATCTCCAAGCTGTCTAAAACTTAAAAAGTAATTTAAACTCTATCCTTTGCTTTTGAATTATCAAGGTAATTTAGACTTAGGATCCTTCTGTAAATGTTTCAATACCCAACATTGATTCTCCTACATCTCAAAGGAGTGATATATATCTATCTATATATAGTTGTAAAATGTAACGTGTAAATTCATATTAAATTGGACGTGGACAATTGAAAACATAATGTCTCCATTGTCTCATCAATTATAGTCATACATTTACATATATGGAAGAAGAATGAAGACCTCATGAATTAACATCAAAGATTCAAAAGGGTCGATATTTGTCTCAATTTCATTAAGAACTATCAAAGACTTTATATAATCACTATGTATGATATATATATATTGTAATGATCATCATCATCATCATCATCATGGAATAAATGAATAAAAACAAGTGGATGCCCTTTTGTTTCATTGGTCCAATCATTTTCCTACTTTTGGGAGTTTGTTGGGTTTTGTCCGAATTACACATTCCATCGACCAATAGCTCTTTTCTCACATGCAATCATCCCAACAATATTGTGGATAGTATCAATTTAAATTATACACCATCAATCATAGAAAAAAAAAATCGAATTTGGCTATGACAAACAATTAACAAATATATTTTCATAGAACTACTAATTTCGAATACCTTATCCACACAATAAAAGTTTTTTTTAATCTTCTCGAATTTAGATTAAAAAAACCCGGGCCAAATAGATTCTAAAAATTCGAAACAAAAGCGGTTTATAGCTTTCATTTCATTTGGAATACAAAGATCAAATATCCATATGTGTATCTTATAGTAATTTTTTTCCTTGCAAAATAAAGTATATGAATTTCTCTCATAGATGGCCACGTGTCAATAGAAGATAAATATGAAAGCGTGAAAAAAAATGCACAAAGAGGTAGTTGCTGACAAAACAAAGGACAAAGAGTCATTTAAATTTCAATAATATATATATTTTTTTTAAAATAAGGAATTTTGAGAGGTTCGAAGAAGCTTGAAAATCTTTTAAATAGATGGAGAGGTTTTTTATGATCTTTTTTTTTTTTATTATATACACTCTAAAAATAGAATATTCTAACTACAACTTACAATTACTTCTATACGCTGAACACTTTACACTCTAATAAACACTCGCCTTAATTAATAAACAACATTTCACCGGTCCACTTATATAAATATTTAAATCGTTTTTGTATAAGATTTCTTAATGATACAGACCTTGTGTCATACGGTAACAATATATAGAAAACAAAATTAGAAAATAAATAGAAAAATAAAAGACCTTATCTCTCTCTCTCTCTCCTCTCCTCCTTTAAAGCCATACATACATACATATGCATCACTCATAACACTAACAATATACAAAAACAAAAAAGGGCTTAAGGGGGTAATGTCGGTGCCCTATCAAAGTAAAAAAAAAAAACCCTTTTCCTTTCCTTAAACACATCATCATCATCATCACCATAATGACCATCATCATGTGGGTGGGGGACTTTCTTGAAATTTCCAAGAAAGTCTTTGGGTTGGGAGAATTGACTTTGAGACTTTTGGGGTTATATCTAAGGGATGAAACACAGCAATTTACAATAAATGCCTTAATTCATCAGACAATTATGATTCATACTTTTATCAGTAATGCGGCAATTGAAGGGAGATAAGGACTTGAAAATAAGAGGCCACATTAGTCCATGTAACAAGACAAAGAAAATGATGGGCCAAGTGTTTTTTCCCCCTCTTGGCATTTAGTGTTAGGTATTATGTCTTTATTTAAATGGAGAATATGTGGATCAAAAAATTGTTTTTATCACCCAGAATTATCCAACCACAAATACATATAATATCAATTGCAAAAAGAAAAAAAAAAAACAGTAATAAACCTATATTCTTTGCAGGAGATTTCAGATTTTGATTTTCGTTATTCTCGAATTCAGCTTCTTTTTTATCTTGAAAAACTATAATTACACGATTTTTTATATTGAATTTCGATTCACCTCAAATTTTATCAATTCACAGACACATAGTGATTCGATAATTAGATTTAATAATAAAAAAAAAACTATATATGATTTCAATTCCATTAGATATTATTTGATTCCGCTATTCCAACGGAAGTATCCCTCATAATTGTGACAAGTTTTTTTTTTAGTTATGGTATACGACGTCTATCGTTGTTAGAACCCTTTAATTACAAATGGTGAAAAAATTACAAAAAAAAAACCCGTTAATTATAAGCATGATAGAATAAATTGATTGGTTATGGCTCTCATTATCAATTCATAGACACATATATAAGGACATGCATGCATGCATGCATACATACATGGGAAAAGACACGTCTACCTAATTCCCACGATTCATTAAGACCCATGTACCATTTATAAAAGTTTATAATTTTATATAAGACTTACAAAGTTCATAATTTTATATGAAACTTTTTAAATGTTCGTGAAATTTTTTATCTTGTTGGTTTTTTATTTCTAAAATGAAACGACATCGTTTCATGACAAAAGGCGTAAATTCCGGATTCTACTTTCGAATTAAGCTTCGCTGGAACGTTCGTTGTCCGAATAAAAAGAGGATCCCACGAAAACGTTTACCACCGTCAGATCATAATATGATCCAACGGTCGTGATGTCATGTCATCTGATCATAATATGATCCTGTAACTGTGACTACTATATTATCGTTTGTAAAATCTTAACTTATAAAGTTATAAGAATGTAAGAATTATGGTCTACTACGTAAATAAAGTAAAATTTCAACCAATCAACCAGTGGTTTGATTGGTTTTCATGTCAACGTGAATTAATTAAATATTTAAATTATTGATATTTTAGCCTTTATCGGAAAAGAACGAGCAACAAGTGGAGGGCATTCTCGTCTTCTCACGCCAACTGTTTAGATTCTCGAGGTGATGGCAATATGTTACATGCCAACCAATTTGAGATCATGTAAAAATTAATTGAATATGATAAACATGGAAAAATGAAATGAAATTAATTAAAATGAAAATAAAATGGGGGGAGAAAATATTTACCGTTGATTTTTTTTTTTACATTTTTTGCCGATGGAATCAATTTTGAGGGAGTAATTTATAAGAAAAATAATTAAATTATAAAATTAATTTTTTTCAATTTTCAAGGCACATGTACGATAGAGTCCCTACCCTAAACGATGAGACAATGAACACCACACCACCGACCTCATCCGTCCGTTATATCGCATTTTCTATTTTCCCAAAGCATAAAATATTTCTTAATATTACCCCTCCAAATTCATGTCCACTATATATATATATATATTAATAATATATATATATATATATGATTTAATCCAGATTCATTCCTTTTAGTTAATTGAGATTTATTGGTGAACGACACAATAAAAAAAATATAAATCTTCACAACAAAATATTTTCTTGAAAATCTTTTAAATAGATGGAGAGGTTTTTTATGATCTTTTTTTTTTTATTATATACACTCTAAAAATAGAATATTCTAACTACAACTTACAATTACTTCTATACGCTGAACACTTTACACTCTAATAAACACTCGCCTTAATTAATAAACAACATTTCACCGGTCCACTTATATAAATATTTAAATCGTTTTTGTATAAGATTTCTTAATGATACAGACCTTGTGTCATACGGTAACAATATATAGAAAACAAAATTAGAAAATAAATAGAAAAATAAAAGACCTTATCTCTCTCTCTCTCTCCTCTCCTCCTTTAAAGCCATACATACATACATATGCATCACTCATAACACTAACAATATACAAAAACAAAAAAGGGCTTAATTTCCCGCCGCCGCAGCCGCAGCTCCGCCGGAGATGACGACGAAAGAATGCAAATCTCACGGCGGATCAAGCCGGAAAATAGTCCGGCGGATTTTATGGTCGATCATAGGGTTTCTGTTCATCGTCCTCCTCACGATCCTGTTGATATGGGCGATACTGCAGCCGTCGAAGCCGAGATTCATCCTCGAAGACGCGACGGTCTTCGCCTTCAACGTGTCGGGGAACCCGCCGAACATACTGACGTCGAATTTCCAGATAACGATATCGTCACGAAACCCTAACGACAAGATCGGAATTTACTACGACCGCCTCGACGTTTACGCTTCTTACCGGAATCAGCAGATCACTTTCCGTACTTCTATTCCTCCCACTTACCAGGTAGGCTCATCTTCTTCTTCTTTTTTTTTTTATAAAAAGGGTTTGCTTTTTTTTCACGTTAAAAAAAGGGTTTGCTTAATTTCCATTTATTTCTTACAAAAAATGATGCAGACATGACCGGTTCCGGTTATCAGTTGGATTTTTTTTATTTCCGAGAATATATGTGAATTGAAAGCGAACGGTTACTTTGATATCAGATTTTTTTTTTAAATCTGTTTCGTTTTAAAAGATAATCCATCGTTCAAATGTATTTTTTGCCTTTTTTTTGTTATAAAATGATTTGCTTGAGTTTCTTTTTTTTGATGCATTTTGCTTAGTTTCTATGTCATTGTTACAAAATTAATGCAAAAAAAAAAAACACGAGGATGGACCCATTATCAATTCCGTTTGGTTTTGATTAAATTCTATTTATCAGAATTTATTTGACTTGAAATCGAACCGGTTAATTTGGTATCAATCTCGGTTTTGTTGTGAAAAAATGATTTAGATTTTTTTTAAAGAGTCTATCGTCTAATTCATATATCAAATATATGAATACACAAATCCAAAGGCAGCAAAAGAAAATTAGAAAAATTAACTGTGAATAATATTTTACTTTTTTACAGGGTCACAAGGAGGTAAACATATGGTCACCGTTCGTGTACGGAACGGATGTACCGGTGGCTCCGTACAACGCCCTCGGCCTGGGCGAGGACCAAGAACGCGGCGCCATGTTTCTAATGATCCGGGCCGACGGCCGAGTCCGCTGGAAAGTCGGCACTTTCATCTCCGGAAAATACCATCTCTACGTCAGATGCCCCGCCTTCATCGACTTCGCCGACAGATCCGCCGGCGTTATCGTCGGAGATAACGCCGTTAAATACACTATCCTCACCAGCTGCAGCGTCAGCGTCTGAAAACGATAACGGCGTTCAATCGATTTAGCGTTTTCGTTTCGTTTTTTTTTCATTTGTAATTGTATCATCACAGTGAGAATTGTACATTTTGCTATACGACGTGGATAATAAAAAAAAAACGTGAGGAAGAAATATATGTAGCAAAATTACGATGGGTGATGTTATTGTAACGAGTGGTAGTGATTGAAATCCGCTATACATAATAGATTTTTTTTTTTTTTAATCATTTTCGGTCTATCCGGTTTATTTCCGGTTCGTATCCATTCGGTTATGTTCCGGTTTACGTTTGAATTCAGGGTTTCTCTATCCCATCTTTGATTTCGATACGTTCGAACTGTAATCGATTTGTGATTTCTGGTGTACCTTTTAACCAAACTTTGATGACTTTCGAGTTGATTTCAGTGGTCAGAAAATAAATGTAATATAAAAAGTTGAAAATTTAATTGGAATTTTTATTCGTAAGTTTTATTCGTGGACCGACGTTGGCTCGTTCTCGTGGATGTTACGTTACAATGTCTTTGTCCATATTTGCTTGGCGTTTACATTGCCTCCTCACACTTTTTTAAGTTTTTCGTGAATGTTATTGGGATCTTTAAATTAATTAAATATAAAAAAGGAGTATCCGGGATTGGTATCTCAATCTACACAAATAAGTACAGTAATTGTTTTTTATTATCCAAATTAATTTCATAATATGTAATTAAAATGAACATATATATATATATATATATATATATATATATTGCGTATGTTTGTTAAATATTGTTATAGCTTTATCCGATAACACAAATTTCTCGCGGCAAGCATGCATTATTGATCATATATATGTTTATATTTTCGTATATAACACTTCTAAATGCGTTGAAATCCAAAATTAGAGAAAATAAAACAAGCCGTGTTGAAATTGTTATTGTATTAGAAAATTTATTGTCGACAATATATGGAATAAGCTGCCAATTTGATTAGATAGTGATGTGTGTATATGTTATTGTGTATTTATACCCATGTGACATTCTCCTACCATGAATATCGTTATTGTCCCACATATACATAAACTAACACAAAACTTATGTATTCATATAATGTCGTGAGGTATACACACACACATACACACGTGTATTTGTACGTAAATGTGAGTGTACCGCTTACATCTCGATTCCGTAAAAAAAACAAAATCAAATTAAATGAGTATTTTTAATATTTAAACCTAATTGCTTATAATTTCAAATATATAAAAATAATGATAAAAAACGAACAAAAACAAAAGATTTAGAATACATATTTTTTTTAAATAAAATACGTTTTAAATACAAACATATTCAATTAAAAAAATTATATAAAAACAAAACAGATACAATTTTGAAAAAAAAAAATTCTAGATACAGAAAATCCGCCCTTTAATGACTCAGATTCGAGAATGTGTGATGGATGATTATCTGGCAAACATAGACGTGTCCGAAAAATAATTTCTTACAAAAAGAAATGATGGTCCCATCATTAAAACCATTTATTTAATTTCTAGTTATAGTTAACAATTTGCAAACCCAACTTGTGGACGAGTGGTCAGTAGGGTGCAAAGCATTCAGAGGTTGGCAATTCGATTTCTAGTTGGGGAGGGGTTTTCACATGTTGTCCCGGTCCTCTGGGAGATATAGTTGGGCCAAAGGCCCGGTGAACTTCCGAATTATAAAAAAAAAATAATTTGCAAGGCAGAATGTCAAAAACTAATTGCATTTACCATCAAGACTGGTCACAAACTCCGCAATAATTATAAATTCGAGATTCTAACGTAATTATTTTCATTCACAACTCCCTTGTAAAAAAAAATACCAGAAATATATTCTATATTCCCAAATTATTATTCAAATTTGCATGGTTTTTATCTCTATAAATTTGAATTTAAATCGTAATATCTATTTTTTTTCTATATAAGGTTTAGCTATACAGAAAAACCCACAAGTTTTTCCTTTATTATTTCATCAATTCTTAAAAAAATAAATAAAAGGGAAATAATAACAATACGCACGCCGATTAGATTTATAATAAAGTGAATAAAACAATCGTGACCCTTTTTTTTCTGCAAAAAAGGCTTAGAATGTGCAAATTAAACTGCATTGTATTGTACAAATGTCCATGTTGTTTTTTGGGCCAATACGAAAGATCAAAAGCCCATTTCAATAGTATTGATTTCTTGACCCAAAACCCGAGGTCCAGAATAGATATCATATATTATATAATAATATTCAATTTTTATAAGTATTTTGTTAGATTTAAATGTAATATTAATTTAGTTTCTATTAAAAAAATTCTTATTTTAGAAAATCGTAAGAATTTTTATATTATTTTCCTATTTTGTCTAAACTGAAATATTAATTTAGATTAAAATCATATACGTGTCATTTTTATATCAATTTTAAAATAAATTTATACATATTAAGTAAAATATCTACGCATATTACAAATAATTAGTAGATACGTTTTCTTCATATCAGCATTAAAATAATATTGCTAAATAGTAAATTGTAACGCTGTAACCTTAACAAGATAAGGAGCAACCGCGTCATCTTCACCTCATTTCCTTAAACGCACAAATACGCGTCCAAATTTATTACCAAACACGTTATTTCCTCTCCGTATGTATATGCGCCTGTGTGTATATATATATATATATGCGTATATGCATGTGTGTATATCCCCTTCTTCACTGAAACGCTCGTATATTTGTTTCTCTCACAATTTCGCAAAAGTGAAACACGAGAGAATTTTCTTCGTCGTCGTCGTTTGGATTCTCTGCGAGGAATTTCGACGAACACATGGCGGATAATCAACCTCACCTGAACGGAGCCTACTATGGGCCGTTTGGGATGGATAAAATTTACGAAAAACTCTGTGACCACGTTAGTTCTATATCATGAAATAAATGCTGCTGCTGCGACTGCCTCAGCTGCTGCGGCTGCTGCATCCTCAGCGTCATCTGCAACATCCTCATAGTCCTTGCCGTGATCCTAGGCATAGCCGCGCTCATCATCTGGCTCATCTTCCGCCCCAACGTCGTCAAATTCCGAGTCGCCGACGCGAATCTCACTCGATTCGATCTCGATCCCAGCGACAACAACCTCCATTACAATCTCGCCTTGAATTTCACGATCCGCAACCCGAATCGCCGGATCGGGATCTATTACGACCAATTTGAAGTCAGTGGATTATACGGTGACGAGCGATTCGGATCGGTGTACGCGCCTCCGTTTTACCAGGGGCATAAGAACACGACGGTGGTTGAGGCGGTCCTCTCCGGTCAGAATGTGGTAATGCTCGGCCACGGAGCTCAGCGAGATCTGGATGAGGATCAGAAATCTGGGGTTTACAGGATCGATTTGAAGTTGAGGCTTAGGGTTAGATTCAAATTCGGGTTCTTGAAGTTGTGGAGGTTCAAGTCGAAGGTCAAGTGCGGTCTCAAAGTCCCGTTGAGTTCCTCTAATTCGACGAGCGGGTTTGAATTCGAGGAGACCAAGTGCCATTTTGACCTCTAATCAGATCTCATGTCTTATTGTTGTTTAAATTTTAACTTTAGTAATGCTTTTGAGTTTGTGGATTATCTTCCATAGTTTTCTTATGTTTATGGATTTATGTGAAATAAATAAATATATATATTTTGGATTTTACCAAAAAAATAAAAATAAATATATTTTGGATTCGACCGTTTACTTCTCTTTTTTTTTTGCGAGGAAATTAAAAATACTTTGTATTTTGCTTTTTGATAACGAAAATAATTTTGTAGCTTTCACCGTAGGGTTGATGATTTGTTTTCAATTTTATATTTCCCATGGTAGAAAGCGGTTTAGTTCGGTACATAAAAAAATCATGGTACCATGTTACATGGTCCCATGTGATCGGGCCGGGCCGGCCCGCTCTAGTAAACTTCTCAGTAAGATTCGAATCCAGATGAAGTTCTGACCAAACTTCATACGTAAAGAAAAATGTTGGCTCACTTTTTTCGGACGGGTTCGAAGCGCCGGAATGGGGGACAACTTCCCCCGAAGGAGCCATCATCTTAGCCAGCTCGGGATCCCAAATAGCGAGAAGCAGGCCGGGCCCTACGGGCGGGAGAATTTACTGTCGGTTTAGGGTCCGGTTCAAGGCTTTAATCATGTGCATGAAACTTTTTGTTGGTCTTATAGTGCTGTATGATTAATTATTGTTTAACGCAAACACAAGTATTTACGTGGTACTGTAATCTTTTACGATAACCGGTTCAAATCATTCCGGGTTGTATATATTACACTAAACCGGGAAGGGAATCGCATTTTGATTGCTGGGTGGGGAAAAGGCATCTTATGATGATATTTTATTATTTTGAACGGAAAACAATAATAATAAAGCACCATTGCTGACGTCACACATACATCGATGATGTCATTTATCTCGAGAGCGGGAGAAGGTGACGGAGCATAATATTTAATTTTCGAATATATCCATGGCACATAAAATAATCGTTTAAACTCATAGTTTGTAACTATTAAAATGTGGATAAATATTTGATTTTTGGAGTATATTGATTTATTAAGAAGACGAGATAAGTTAATTTTGATAAGATAATTGTGAAAATGAGTTCGAATTTGGGTTTTCTTATTAAAAACATATATGTATCGCAAGGATACTTTCAATTTGGTTTATATTTATATTTTACCGTTTTAGGTTATATTTGTTATAAATAAAATTTGAAGATAAAATTATATTTTAGTGATATGAAGAAGGGCTTAGTTATAATTTAGTAAAATAATAAAACATTATAAATAGAGTTTTTATTCATTTTTTTAATGGACTTAATTTTTTTTATATTTTATGAGAATTCCCAGTCTTCGTTTTCTTCGAATATCTATATAATAAATGACATGCGTATCAAAGTTACTTTCGGATAATCGACGACCATGAATTCGAATCCTGTTTTTAAATTTTATAACACGAAATTCGTGGTCCAAATTTTGGATACCAAGTCTAACCGAGATATTATATTTTGTGATCAACCATTGGTAATTGTAAAATCATGTAATGAATAGAATTGATTTTTAATATCCGATCTAAAATTAATTACAATAGTCAATTATGGTAAAAGAAAGTATAGGAATTTCAATACATATACCGTGATTTCAATCGGTCGATATCAGATATACGATTTAAATCACTCGTTTTATCAAATCGAGTTTAAAATTGTTGATTTTTGAAAATTAATCGTAGTCATCCAAATTCAATTCTTTTGTCGATTTTGCATGTAACTTATCGGACTATCCGCATTGTCTTCTAAGAATCGACGGTACAGATTCGTTGTGGACGATGAACGGTTAAAATCGATTTTTGACGGTTCATGTCCGTAATATTAATATTGGACAATTCAGGATATTTTTAGAATTAACGATCTAAATAGATTTTGGAAAATCTATATGTATCTCATATCATATTTTATAAATTTACGATGGAAATCATATCATAACGATACGATCAGATAGTAAACTCTAAAAAGCATATATTAATGATTTCTGATGCAATATTTAAATTGGGATGGATAAAATTTACGAAAAACTCTGTGACCACGTTAGTTCTATATCATGAAATAAATTGCTTTAATATAATAATCTTATATATCTATGTATATGCATAAACTACTACAGAACACCGATAAAAATAGCTGTTTGCAACTGTAATTTTATATCTCTATATTTCTTATATATAATATTCGATTATTATGTATACTAATAGCATATTACATTTCTTAAGAACAATTATCGTTTTTATTTTTTTGGAAATTTTCAAATTCTATAGGCCCGTTCTGTCAACCTTCCAGCTGTTTTATGTTGTTATCACACAACATATCAATATTTATATATGATATAGTATTGTTATTTAAAATTATATCTTTGAGCGTATATTTCTAAGTTGGGATATACAATCCGAGAATCTAGATATTATGTTCTTTTATTAAAGACTACTTTATTTCATAATAAATTACCTAAATTAATATCAAATACTCATTGAATCATTATTTAGTCTTCTCACAAATAAAGCTCTTTGACTGTTGAATTAATCAATGCACTAGATATTATTGATAGCAGAGGCCTGTAATTCTTCGTATCTTTTGGACGAAAACCAATATAAATAACATAAAATCTATGCTATATAAAACATTACAATTATTTGAATAATATAAAAATTATTTAAAAAATCGAAAAGATTTTAAAAAAAATAAAATACTAATTGTAATAAAAATTTAACCTTAAATAATTAAAAAATTGCTAAAATTAAACGTTTATAAAATTAAGTAAAAAACAATTGAATCAAAACTGAATGGAAAATTAAAATGGTTAAATCTAATTAATAGTACTTTTAATATTATGCATCTCATTGAATACAAACAGTTACATGCCCATCGGAAATTTTTTTAATGGATGAAAATTAAATGCATAAATTGCTGAATGATATATTTTTTTTTTTACCAACAAAGAACTTTTTACGATATAAAAGTAAAAATCATGTCCTTTGTACTTGTGAATGTACTGTATTTAACATATTCACCAAACGTATTTTTTTTCTTGTTTCCATGGCCCCGTTTTCATATTTCAAATCCATGAATACGAATATTGTCTATAATTAATTTTCTCCAAAAAAATATTAGCCAACAGTTTGTTTGATTAAATAGGTAAAAATAATAATTAAATGAATATCTAAAATGTGCAAGTATATACATATACACACACATGCTATTAATGGTCATAAATCAAATCAGTCCAATCGATAGAAAGGAAATGGATAAATCAAAAATCGAAAAATCTATTGATTATTGTTGTCAGTCGCCATACGCAAGGCTGAATATTTATTTATCATTTATATTCTAATCTCGCACCTTTTTTTTTTTTTGGTAAAATATTACGAAATAGAATTGAATAATAATTGAAAAACGACGTCCAATATATAAAACCGCACATTTAAAATGTATAAATAAGAGTTCCGATATTCATTATCCAAATCGCACAAGCCACGTATATGATTTCTTTGTGTACCACGAGAAATATCTGTCAAAACTTGCCATTTTATTATCTAATTAATTATAATAAGAATTTAATGTTAGTTCGTATCTTTTAGATATGTACAAAAAGTCTTTCCGATATGAAAAACAAAAATTATTATAAAGTAGTGATTGGGTCAATGACATTTAAAAAACATGAATATATGACATTAAAAAAATGTATTTAGATTTATATATTTATAAAATCATGTATACGCGTATAATGTGTATTTGTATTATATTTTTTTACATGTGAATACGCAGACACTGTTACTCTAGGGGGCGGGAACGTGAAAACAACTTGTTCCGAGAAATATAATAATTGGTTATATACTATTTTTTTTCTAAATTAATTGTACACTATATATATACATATATATAATTATGTACAGAACCACTGAATCCATATAAAAATCAAAATTATTTGGTCTATAGATATACTATTAATTTTCTAAATTAATACAGATTTATTACTTAATTCAATTTATTGTGAGTTTAAAGGTGTACTTTAGTGAATTACAGTAACAAATATATATATATATATATATATATATATATATATAAATATATATAATGAGATAAGTAAGAAATTCTTATAACATCGTATTTGTAGAAAAAAAATATATTTGGTAAGAACGTGATAAATGAAATAAAATAGAATAAATTCTTATATATCAGAATAAAATAAAACTAAATTATTTAGTCATTACATAAAATGATTTTATATAATTATGTGTTAACACAAATACAAGTAATTCGTTTGGTCGATACCTTTATATGTCACTACAACATTAATTTTGGTCAACATTAAGACAGATAAATCCAAATCTAAACCTTAATGGTTCTAAATCAGGCACGTAATCAAAGTATTTTCTCAATAGTTTATATTATTTTATGTAAAGGAAAAACTTCAATCAGAATTCATGTTTTAATATATTTTTCTCCATATGGGAACCATATATATGAATATAATAAAAACTGCTGTTAGAGTGTGATTAAGACTCGAATATCGTGTCCATGTTCACACTTGGTATTTAAAACTGTAACAAATCCCTTAGCGAAAATAATACAAAAATATATTACATTATATAACTTGCGATAATTATGCCAAAAATAAAATTTTCTTAAAATACCTATATATTATTATTCCTTTCTATGATTTTGAAATCTGTAACTTCTGTATATTTCATGATTTAATGTCATATTAATTAATTTATGTCTTATTGTTGGAATATGAACTACTGTATTCGTCGGTTTGAGCCTTGTTTCGAAATTTTAATCCCATATATATATATGTAGAGAGATATAATAAGAATCACAAATATCTAATAAATTATTCATAGATCTATGTAAACACGAAATGATACATCTTCATCCGGTCGAAATTGAAGATCATCTTGATGATTTGATATGCGATTATATATATTATATAAGATACGATCATATGATAAAAGATAAAAAAAAATTGTCTTCAGAAAAATAATTATGGTATTAGACCGATTCCATAAATTAAAATGGCGGCAATTCAGAATCACATCGATATAGATTCAAACATAAAACGGCTTTTTAGGAAAAAAAAAAGAAATGAATAGAATAGAATACGTCTCTTGCAGAGGACGAATCGGAATAATGAATATAAAATATTTAGATATTATAAAAAAAGAAATCTGCCATTTTTTTTTAAAAAGCCTAGATATTTAGATAGAAAAAGGGAACTTGTCTATATATAACATAAAATCCAATCATAAAGTATAAAATTGATTTTACATCTTACAAACAAGATTCTTTAATCAATATCAATAATAACAATGCTTTGGGGGGGGGGGCATGGGAATTGCATGTCCATCCTCCAATATAAATACTAACACAATAATACCAAACTGTTTTTCATTCATAGACATCATAGAATTGTAAACTTTGGAGAGAGAGAGAGAGAGAGAGAGAGATGGAAGAGACAAAGTCAAGATTCAAGAGGATCTGTGTTTTCTGCGGGAGCAGTTCGGGCAAAAAGCCTTCCTACCAAGAAGCGGCAATTGAATTGGGAAATGAATTGGTACGCTCTCTAATTTCTTCTCTTCTTAATTTCTCCGACCACAACATATCCTTCCCCATGTATGTATATATGTACGTATATACATATGTGTGACCGTGTGAGAATACGGTCTCTGTCTCACAACCGGTTTGTACAAAACACAAGTGTTTCAAGTCGTCGGTCCAAACGAAGACATGGGTATTAAGGGTTCACATACAGTTCGGACAAAACACGCTTCATCAATAGGCATTACATCGGAGTTTCTTGTACGGTTGTACCGTCTCTCTTTTCTTTTTGTGAATCCGAATTTCTTGTACCGTCTTTGGGTTCACTTTAGTCTTCAAGTTGAAGAAATTTGCACATATTGCAATATATATATATATATATATATATATATATATAATACAATTTGTGCAAATTGTGTATTCAACTTGAACGCATAGGACATGGGGGGTGTGATAGTGTGTTGCAACGAACAAATTTATATAGATCAATGAAAGGTGGGGATATGGTGTGGTGATTTGCGTGGATTTTCAAAATATCACAAATTGGAATTCTATAACGTTTTTTTTTTGTATGAGAGAGAACGAATTCACTGTGCTTAGCTGTAAACCGTCTGTATTCCTGCATGATCTCCCCCTCTCGTTTGTTATTGTTTTCACATAATTACACATACATGCACATATATAATGGTACACCTACATATATATATATACACATACATGGACGCAATGATAGGTTTTTGCCTCGAGGCGAAAACCCAAACGTGCTTCGTTGGAAATCATGACACTTTTTTTTTTTGCCAAAGCGATCGAAACCTCTTGTAAGATTAACAAAAAAAAAAAATCCTTGTAATAATATTTTTTATTTATTTCGCTCGCTAGGTGCAGTGTCGTTGCCTTCTGTTCACTTTTCGTATGGATTTTGATAGGATTATGAGATGTCTTTTTAATATGAGATTTGATGTGGATGCGGTTTGTTGCGGGTCAAGCTGACTCAATCTCGACTCAACGCGTTGATTATATAGATGTGGGCTTTTGACACGTGTCCCCTTAACACCCTACTCACACATATATAAGTATATATGAATAATGATGATGGGAATGTGTGGTTGAAGGTGGAGAGAAGGATTGATTTGGTCTACGGAGGTGGGAGCGTGGGGCTCATGGGTCTCGTCTCTCAGGCCGTTCATCATGGTGGTCGCCATGTTATAGGGTTTGCTCCCTCTCTCTCTCTCTCTCTCTCTCTCTCTCTCTCTCTATATATATATATATATATATATATACAGATGTATAAGTATATATATCGATGTGTATATATAGAATTATTCATACGATTCAATTTCTAGTTCCAAAAACGAACGTCATCATTGATCCTTGACTTTGTAGCATATTCCTCGAATAGATGATTACGCACGCACTTATTGCATATATGAGACGTATTCTTTCACACAGTCATTAGATTGTTTCTCAAATCTAATTTTGGTTTGTTACATATATTCATTCTTATTATTGAATTTTTATGTAATTATATATATATATATATATATATACATATACGTATACTCATACATGAATGTAATTGTCTTCCATAATTTTGCAGGGTCATTCCAAAGTCGTTAATGCCAAGAGAGGTATGTAATGTAAAAATACTCCAAATCCTCCCATAATTTCTATGCTAAATAACGGAAAACAAAATTAGTTCAAAACTCGAACTTACCATGGACCAAAAAAAAAAATCAAATTTTCACATTCACATTCAACCAAAAAAAAAAACTTACCATGGACCCTTGATATATATGTACATATATATGGTCCACCATATATATGTAAGGAATGATCGAGATTTGAGTTGTAATCATTGTGGCATATAAGCCATTTCGTTCACGATAACTCTCGTGACCAACAAAATATATTTATTTGTATAATATAGATGCGAGATTTAATTTGTGTTTATTACATTTTTTTTGGGGGTAAAAAAGTAAATATAACAAAGAAATTTGTATGTAATAATGTCGTATAGATAACCGGTGAGACCGTCGGAGAAGTCAAAGCTGTCGACGATATGCATCAAAGGAAAGCCGAAATGGCCCGTCAAGCCGATGCCTTCATTGCCCTCCCTGGTCTGTCCTAACCAAATTATGAAATATTTCCGTTTTCTTATATTGTATAGAATCGAATATCTTGTTATTAATTTATTTTGCAAATTTAATGTCGTTACTATATATTATTATTAGGTGGATATGGAACGCTCGAAGAATTGCTCGAAGTTATTACTTGGGCTCAACTCGGTATCCACCGCAAACCTGTAAGATATTTGTATTTTTTTGTCTCAATAATCTCTTAGATTATAATCGAAAATGTATGTCTATTATTATACGTTCAATAATATGGTTTTGACCGTTGATTAAAAAAAACCTCAAGAATCATTCATCATTCAAACTTGGCTTTTATAAGGCGGAATCGCGTCATGTTTTTTTGTCTTGTAATTACCATTTACCACTCGGGATTTTATTTATTTATTTCATTTTCAAGATTAAATAATATAATCATTAAAATCTTTGACCAAATCTGCATGCATGCATGTGATGCTTACGTCGAAGCTATATAAATCATTCACTCATAAGGTTAGAAGCTTGTAGATATCAAATCTTGTTACACACTATATGGACCGACTGGTTGTATCTACACTTAATTTTGCAGGTGGGTCTTCTCAACGTCGATGGATATTACAATTCATTGTTATCATTCATCGATAAGGCCATGGACGAAGGCTTTATATCAGCCGCAGCTCGTAGAATTATCGTCTCTGCCCCGACCGCCAAAGAATTGGTCAGGCAACTGGAGGTATAATACATATATATGTATATATATATGAATAATATAATTATATATGTAGCATTATCGAATTATATATAGACATTTTCGGCGTTGTTTAAATCGTTTTATTCATTCAAAATTTCATTAGGAATATGAACCGGAGTACGATGAGATAACATCGAAGCTGGTATGGGACGAAGTTGATCGGATAAATTACGTACCGGGATCGGAGGTTACTACATGATGGTTATATATATATACACACACATATGCTTTGAGGGGGAAAATATATTTTGTGGGAAGTTATGTACTTATGTATAGAAAGGGGACTAAACTGATAGAAGCAAATATATTTTGGGGATTGGATGAAGAAACTGAAGTATCGGGGCCATTTTGTGATATTGGTTTTTTGTGGGGGGCAATATGTGAAAACTATGGAACTGCTAACTTCCTATAGGAGGAGGGTTTTTTCATGTGTCACATATATGTACATTTTGGTTCTGTAGAAGAAGAAAAAAAATGAAAAGGAGAAGAAAATGAAAGCCATTATTTTGAAGATTTCTTTTCCATTTTTTATAAACAGAAATTTTAATTTTTCTCTCTCTTGTAACAAACAATTACCAGAATGTTATTTCTTATACCAATTTTTTTTTATGTCAAAACTCATTTTCATTTTCCCTATACAATCACTTTTATAGGACCGACTTAACGATTATTTAGAAAATTAATATCTTATATATGCACACATGTAAAATTTATGCAAGATGTATGTATATATATATATGAAATTGTTCCATTCAAAAGTGTGTTTGTATTTTGATTTCTGTTATTTTGGACATTAATTGTTTGTTCTGTAATGAAAATTAAAACATTTACATTTGGCTATTCCGTGACTCCGAATTTTGTGGGGAGTATTGCATGTAATGTGTAGACTTACGAGATTTTATATAATAGAGCATATTGACAAAAATTAAATGAAAATAAAATAAATAAATATATAGCATCATGAATTATTACCAATTGAATGGTCGGACCAATCTGTCATATATAATCTATACCCACACCCCCACATGATTAATATTTTTTTTTAATGTGAAATTTTACTATATTGTGTTGGCATATGGTCAAACAAACAATTTAAAAGAAAATAATTCACATTTACATTAAGAGGACAGCAAATCTATGAACCAAAGCCTTCTGTTACACAATCTGTTATATTATAATTTGAATTAAAATCTCTTTTACGTTACTATTCTTTTGAAATCGTATTAAAATTACAAAAAATCTAAACCGAATTATAGTCCATTAGAATTCATAAATTTATGATTTTTTTAATGATAATAATTGAATGAAATCGAAGATCTAGTTTTGATATATATATTTCTTAAAATTTAATAAATTGAATATGATGCGAATCAAATCCACAAACATCAACCCTAATATTTTTTTAAAACTGTTTTTCAATTTCTTTTTAATTTCTTTACATGTCAAAAGATTTTCATACACATAAAAGCCTTTATGAGATACTCAACAAAGGCTTAATTCCATGAACGGGCCCTCACGAGATACTCAACAAAAGTTTAAATTGAAATTGAAACTGAAATTTCAGAAAATTATAAAAAATTTTTATCGGAATTTAAATTTAAATTTTAAAAAATCAGATACTCAACAAAGAAATTAAACTCGATGGTAATTTCATAATTAATTCCATAAACCATGTCATAAATATACATTCATCTACAATTTTGTGAATAAAACAGATTATAATTTTATAGTTAAGTCCAGTATCAATTTAGCTAGTAAATTTAGTGATAATATTGTAAATAAATCTACTACTAATTTTGGAGATACATATGAAAATTAGATAGATAAAAGTAATAAAAATTTCGAATCACATATATTTGATTTTTATTATCCAAATCTCATCCATTTAACTCAAAATTCTAAATCTTCGGAACAAATTCGGGTATTGGAATAAAGAACATGATTATTATTTGCTGTCGACTCATTAAATTGAATCTTGGCTATTTTGTATTATCTATAAAGTCTATCAAATTATATGCATCTTTATTCATTTAGTTCAGAATTTTTTCTTGATTTAATCATAATATATAAAAGGGGAAATCGCCATAAAAACCCTGTACTTTTCCCAGGTCAACGAAAAAACCCTGTACTTTTTTCCTTACCAAATAAACCCTGTACTCTATCCTGATAACCAATTAAACCCTGTACTTACAATTTATTAACTAAAAAACTCCCGCGCCGTGAACGTTGTGACGGCTGAAACGGAACTAGTGACATGGCATAAACGGAGTTGCTGATCCTAATCCACGTAGGATTTACTTGCCACGTCAGATAAAACAATGTCAGATAAAACAAAACAATTATAAGGTCGGAAAATAAACCATATTAAACCTAATCACAAAAAACTCCTCTATTTCCCCAATCACAAAAAAATCCGTTCGAACCCTAAGCCTTAGTTTCGTTCTTCATCAGTTTCGTTCTTCACCGAGTTCTTTCTAAATCGTGTGTATTTCGGAGGTGATTTGGAGACGATGCGAACTGGGTAATCGATTTGAAGTTTCTCTCGGTATTTCGAAGCCGATTTGAAGGTGAGTTTAAACCCTAAAGCTTCGGCGGAAGAAACCCTAAAGCTTCGAAGCCGATTGCTCTCTGTTTGAAGATAACCCATTTTCATCACTCATGTTCTTCGATTTTGGTGAAGCGATTTCTGACAGTGATACCATTTTGTTTTGATTGAAGATAACCTGGTGTCATTTCTTCTACAAATCGGCGGAAGAAAGGTTCGGGTAAACACTGTCATATTTTCCAGGTATTGTTTCGAAGTCGATTCGATGTAATGTTTGTGTTGCTCATTTTTTCAAAAAATTATGAAATGTTTAGGTTTTGCAAGGATGTCAAGGGATGATTCAGATGATGTGATAATAAACATACATTTGGGCGGATCAATAATGAAAGATGATGAAGGAGAGATAAAATATGTTGGTGGGTTTGTAGAAAAAATTGAGAGTGTGGTTAATGTTGATTATCTGAATTGGTTTATGTTTGAAAAGTTGGTGAAGAAAGAGAGATTGCCTCAAATAAAAGAGCTTTGGTTAAAAAGACCAAATGAGGAGATGGATTATTTGAGGCAAATATACAAAGATGTAGATTTTGGAATTATAGACATGATTAATATGGGGAAAAGAAGTGGAGAATTGGATGCATACATTGTGCATAAGGTGTATGACGGGCCTGTTCTAAGTGGACTATTGAGCAATACTGAACATGACAGTGATGATGATGGACAATGTGATGGGGAGAGATTAGACAATGATGAAGAGTTAGACAATGTTGAAGGATTAGGTGATGGAGACAGATTAGATTATGGTATTGGTGGATTAGATAAAGAGGTTGGTTGTGATACTAATCCACATAATGCAGAGTTTGATGATGATGGATTAGGAGATGATGAAGGATTAGACAATGATGAAGGATTAGGCCATGATGAAGGATTAGGTGATGGTGTCGGTGGATTACATAATGCAGAATATGTCAGCGATGCAGAGTGTCGTGACAATGGAGATGAGTTTCCGAGTACCCCAAAAACGAGAGAAGAAAAATGGATGGAGTTCATGAGCCTATTCAATGACAAGGAACCACAAGATGTAGGATCAACAAGTTCGGGTAAACATAATCTTCATCTTGGTAAGTGTTTTAACACTGGTGAAGATTTCAAAGAAGAATTGTTTAAATATGCATTGGATAATAACTTCAATGTGAAGTACTTGAAGTGTGAAAGTAGAAGGTATTCAGTAGTCTGCACAGAGAAAGATTGTTCTTGGCGAATCTATTGTTCTCTGCACACTGCGCAAAACAAGTGGATGATCAAGATATTCAATGATAACCACAACCACCCGAAGAGGAGTCATGTTGGGTTGTTAACTTCAACACGTATAGCGCAACTTTTCGCTGAAGATCTCCGAAGAAATCCCTCTCTTTCAGTTGAAGAAATACAAGATCAGGTTATGAAGCGAAATCAGGTGATAGTGTCATGCGTTCAGTGTTTCAAAGCTCGTAGAATTGTTTTAGGGACATTGGTTGAAGATCAAGGTGCTCAATTTGCTAAGTTGATGGATTATGAAGCAGAACTTCTGAGATCTAACCCAGAAACTACCACTGAAATT